TCCAACAATAATGATTCTATGATTCTATGATCAACTACAATAGAAAGCATCTTGTATCAAATGTGTTTCCTAAGTTTGCTCATTCCCTTCATTGATTTTGCTTCTTTCTTGCAGCAAAGAGAAGCAGTGTGTGTGTCTACATTTTACCCTGGGATTTTATGATGCCATTATCCAGCAAGTTTTTGCTCTTGGTCCTTTCACCTCTTCTGGCTGCATGAACACAGAAAGACCACAGTCCCAAAGCCCAGGGACCTTCCAAAAAAAAAAAAAAAAAAGGAAGGGCCTAATCTTGTTTTGCTGCTCCTCTCTGCAAGTCTGCTAGGAGGCTTTACCCCATTCATCCCACAAAGACCACATGGGAAAGGGCTGGATTTGATGTACTGATGTTTCTGGGCCGATAACAGGAGAGATCTAGTTTCCAGGAATCCCTTGATGTGCTGACACAGTGTGTACAGATGCACCAAGATGTCCTGCAGAGATGAGGATAGAGGTTCTTGGGAAAGGACTAGCACTGGAACCCCAGCTGGGGGTAGAGAGCAACATCACTGCAAGGTATCAGGGGAGGTTGGGAGGAGGTTGGGAGGACAAAACAACCAAGACATGTCTGTCTTGTTGAAGAGCTTTTCTTTCAGACTTGGAGGGAGAGAAGGAAGGTGAGATCTACTGCAGGTGAGGGTCAACAGGAGGATTGTTGCAGTTGTGATGATTTAAGGCAACAAGTCGTGAGATTTAGGGGAAAATGTGATACAATATAAGATCGGCCAATCTTATTAAGATGTATTCTGAACACATAGCCAAGGAAAGAGAGCGGCTCTGACACTGGTAGGAGGGTCTCTGATTAAAGAGGAAGCTTCTTCCACCACATGCAGCTTCCTTCCAATGCTGCTTCATTTCTGTGTTTGCACCTTTCTTTTGCTCAATTACACGGAGGTCCTGAGGGACAGCAAGAGAGACGGAGACTTCAGTCCTGCTCTGGGGCTGTATGGTAGCATGGACCTGCAAGGGCTGGTTCTGGCCCTTCTCCTGGTCTTTGCAACTCTGCTGCCTGCACAGGGAATGAGGGCTTTTTATCCCCAAACCCAAGGATCAGCTGAGGAAAAAGGTAAGGGCTGGTTTCTCCTCTCGCTGCAAGACAAGTTTTTGCTGCTTCCCTCCATACAAGTCTGCCATGCAAATTTGCCCCAGTTGTCCCACATCAGCTTCGCTGTAGAGTGGTGAAACTAGTGTCCACGTATGTACCAAGACAGTCTGGCATCCGTGGTGTGAAGCTGTGTTTAGGGGAGGAGGGCAGCAAGCCGCAGGGTGATGGGAAATCCTCTGAGAGCACAGCGACCACAATATTCCTGGGGAGCGGGCAGTCTCCCCAGGAGCAGAAGCCTGTAGCCTCTCTGGGACAACTGCAGCAATGTCTCCATTACTTGGGTGATGGGTGCTCATCCTCAGCAAAGACCTCAGGAGCTATAAGCTGAGCCTGTACATCAGTGGAGATGCCTGTTCTGTCCTGAAAACGCTGTGAACAGTGGTGGTGTGGGCTATGGCATGGTGGATTTGTTCTTTAACAGCTTTATTCTGCTCCCCACTGATGCTGGGAGGGTCCTGCCAGGGCTCTGCATGACTCTTCCCATGGCACCTTTATGCTTTCCACTGTGCTCTCCCCTGGGGCTCTCTGTACCCTTTGAGTCCTCAAGTAACAGAGAAGTTAACAGCTTCTCTTGGCACCAGAAGCTGTGGTGCCAAGGGGCTGAGTCATTGTGTCTAAGGGGAAATGTGAGAAGAAGTGGCTTGGAAAGTCATTCTATGGCACATGAGTCATGTTACCCATCTCTAGGAGCTGTGGCACTTGGTGGCATCTCTCAGCTGTCTGTAAAACTAACAGTGTGAAGTTGATTTTTCCAGGTCTCAGCAGTGATTCCTGATACTTGTTCCCAATTCCTACAGCTCATCCCTCATGAGCCCTCTCAATATTCACAGTTCTCCCCTCCTTGGCTTTCTGCTTGGGGAATGGAGAAGGCTGTGATGCATTTGATAGTGGCATTGGCTCTGAATCAGTGGGGGGAGATTTCTTGGATTTGCAGCTGTGGAAGAGATGTGGGGCACAAACTCGAGGTTGTGCCTGTTACCCTATTTACAGTGCAGCTGGCATCTGCAGCATAGAAGGGGGCCAGAGGAGTTTGTGGAATATGGAGAATATAAAAGCACAAACTTTTTTGGCAGGTTTTGCTCTTCAAGTATCATCAGGGAATTAATGTAGCTCACTTCTACCTTTCTACCATAAATGTCTGCTTTTCACACTTTCCATGTATGTCCTGTGTTCTTGCTGTTTCATGATAGGTATGAAAAAAGTCAAATGATCCACATTTTCTGGACCAGATGTAAACAATAAATGTATGAAAAACTCTGCCTTGGTCATGTTACTTGCCAACAGCGCCTATGGCCATAGTCTTGCTTGCCTTCCTCTCCTCAGTAAGCTCTGCATAAGACAATCTTGTACTCTAGTTGCTCTCACTTATTTCATTCCCTCTTGTCCCATGGCCTGCCCCGCTGGTTCCCTACAGTCTCCTGCTTTCTACTTCCTTTGTAGTTTAACCTATTTTGTACAAAGTACTACTGCATTTCAGGTTGTTCTTAGCCTCATACTGAGCCAGGCTATAACCTGTCCTCCTTCTGTGTAAAGGCATTTCTGCAGGGCCTTCCATATCTTACTTTATCACAGGGATAGACAGATTCTTGACCTTTTTTCATGACGATTACCAACAGGAAAATCAACACCCCCCTGACCGCGTGTGAAAGCCTGCTTCTTGAAGTGTGTTTAGTTTGCCTTGTGGAGGGATTTACTCCCTGGTGGCTGATACCCTTGGTCAAATGCTTGGCCATGGTGGGTTGTCCACCCTCTATTGCAGTGGAAGGCTCCGTGTCTCCTCTCCCCTGTATAGGGACATATCCCCTTTAGAGGATATGTCATACTGGGGATATCTAATTAAACACGTACTGAGTGAGTCAAGGGCTTATCATCTGTCAAGACTCTGGGTTGTCACAGTGAAGCCTGTGGTCTGAGGGTGATAGGATGCTTCCTGTTGAGGAGGAAGTGTCCACACAGAGGCATGCAACAGGCAGGCCCACAGGAACCCATCCTGCACTACCCTGGTGCAATTGGGGTAAATGCACTAGGGGTTGGGCTAGGAACCTGATCCAGGTAGGGCCCATCCAGGCAACCCCTCTAAAATGAGGGGCCTGTGCCCTTCTGGGTGAGGTCCCATCACCTCACAGATGCTGCCAGAGCCTGCTGAATCTCAGGGCTCTTCCTCCTTTTCTTTGCACACAGGAAGATGCAAAGCCCCCTCCAACTGGGACCCCAAGCTGCAGTTTGCCCCTAGCAAGACCAGCTATGCCTTGAATGAGGTGGTGCAGCTGAGTTGTGCTGGGAGCTACCAGCCATCAGTCCCTGTGCTCAGGTGCATTTCCAGCAGCAACCAAACCTTTTGGAATGGGACTGCCACATGCAAGGGTAAGCAAAGCCCTACATCACCGGGATCCAAAGGTCCTGGACTGGCATCAGACCCTCTGTCCTAGTTATCCTAGAAAATTCCTTCCATCTCCCATGCACTGATTTGCTGTGCTGCAACTCAACCCCCTACTCAGCCAAGCCAATTGCATTTGCACATTTTCCTGAGTGTGGGGACAGACCAATCTTTTGGTGGAGATGACTGTCCTTATGGACCTGCCAGTTTTCCTGACTTCCTTTGCTTCCCATAGGAACACCCTTACCAGGCTCACAGTAAGAAGACATCTGCCCTCCTGATGGCTGAGCTCTGTGATCTGCTACTCGCCCTTCTTGCTGCCTTCAGGACTTCAGACTCCTCTTTCTTGGTCACTAGAGCCAAGGCTGCCACTGAGACATTTTCAGCCAGGCTTGAGGGGACAAAAGGAGTCCTGAGTAGTCAGTGCTCAAATGGTCCTTGACATCCTGAATGGTGGTAGTGGAGTGATGCCTGAGGGCAAGAGCAATGTCCTCCCCCAGGCACCGCCCTGGCAGGGCAGAGCTTGCCTGCCTGTGGGGATGGCTACGTGCAGCAATCCAGAGCATAGGGGAGGTGGGACAGAGGGTTATCCTGCATGCTACATTAGCCCATGGCTCCCCAGGCCTGCTCTGTGTGTGTTGAGGTAGCCAGGGCAAGGCCAGGAGGAGGCACCAGGGTGGAATCAACCTCTGTGCAAACAGTGCAAAAGACGACAGGGCTCTTCTGATGGACGAGGCTGTGGGAGGGGTGCGCTAGGGCCTGGTGTGTGTTGGATTGGTGCTTCAAGGTCTCTTTCATAATAAGGTGCTACTGGGTGGGGGAAGGTGACAGGACCAAAGGAGGTCTCTCCTTACATAGTGCAGAAGGCACAGGAAGGTGAGGAGTGTGAGGGCAGAGCAGGAAAGCAGAGATCAGCATTCTTTGTGTGCAGAAGGTGAGGCTGGATGGATGTGCCTACTTGCCCTCTCCCTTTAAGGGTTGGAACCTTACAGATCCTCTGTCATCTGCCATGCCCCACCTGGTCATCTCTGCACTCTGACTTCCAATTTCCCACTTTTCCATTCTGTTTCTCCTGCAGAAACATTTCAGAGGCCTCAGTGGTCCAGAAATTGGATCTTGAGTTGCATTCTCATTGTGGCATCGAGTGAGCAGGCGTATAGGGGAACCAGGACATCTCTCTTCACACAAGAAGCCACCTCTTACAGGGAGTGATTGCCTCAGGAAACTTATTGCTGCAGGATGTGACAGGACTGAGAGTGTCTGCGGACAGACGGGCAAAACAGAGAAGTGGTCAGTCCTGCTGCATGCTCACAAGGAGAACCTCCTCCCACCAGGCTGGGCTGATTGGCCATGTCATGACCAAAGGATGTGTCACTTTCCACCTCTTAATTTCAGAGATGAACTCCATCATGGGTGACTCTTGACAGCCTTCACATTGCTCCACTACCCTAACTAACCTGCATCTCCTTTTGCCTCTGCCAGAAACGTGCCAAAGGCCCCAGTGGGATGAAAAACTCCAGCTAACACCAAACCACAGAAACTACCAAAAGAATGAAGAAGTCAAGCTGAGCTGCCCCCGGGGTCTCTTTCCATCCTTCTTCAATGTCAAATGTTCAGAGGCTGCCCAGTCCGGGAGGTATCCTGGATCTGCTAACAGATACACGTGGTTGGGGAAAACCAGCTCTGATGCTTGGATTCACATTCAGGAGCCTGTGAAGTGCACTGGTAAGTGGGTCAGCAGGAGGTGCCTCCTCTGGAACCTGTGGCCAACTTCTGCGCCCTTTGTCCCTCTCTGAGCTTCTCTGGACCAGTTTAGAGAATAGTGTGGTCCCTTCCTTGGAGCCCCGGAGACCTGGGAGCTGCCAGCTTCCCCTGGCCTTTCCTGGGAGGCCTTAAGGAAGCAGTGCGGGCCTCCTCACCACCTGAGCTCCTGCCTGGGGACATGGTGTGGGAGGCCTCCTCTCCTATCTTGTGTCCCAGAGCTCCCTCCCTCTCCTTCATCATAACGTGCCAGGGAGGGGGTATCACCCTCCCTTTGCTGTCCCTGCTAGGCCAGGCTCCTGGTCTGCTAATGCCTACACATTTTTTTGGTGCAGAGATATGCTGGAAGCCCGAGTGGGACCCCAAGCTCCTGTTCTCTCCAGACAAGATGTTCTATGAGCTCAATCAAGTGGTGGTGGTGAGCTGCCCTGAGGGGCACGGGCCTCCTCCCATGGAGATCACTTGTGTCAAGTTAAATCCACACCAGCAGTACTCAGCTGCTCAGGTCACCTGGCACATGCGGAATGGCACGGGCAGCTTGCACCGTATTGAGGGGAATATGACCTGTGTGGGTAAGTGAGGGAGCAGCTCAGGCCATGTCCTGTCAGATCATGTAGTATTTTTGAAGCTGAGGTTTAACTGAATGGGCACAGTCCTCTCAAGCATCAGGAATCAGCCCAGAAAGCTGTACCTGTTATCTTAGTACCTCATGATCCCCAAATGCTCCTGCTTCCCAACTCGGAGACATGATTGCCATCAGTCTCATGCTTCCCCTTCTTCCCTGTGAGGTGGCAAGTCAGACTCTCTGAATGTAGCCCCCTTGGAAGGGCAGGAGGGAAGGGAAGGAGATGACCTGCTTGTGATGTTTCCTTCACAGAACTTCTCCAGATTTTCCTGGGGCACTGGGAAGTTGCTGCCACCAGCATCAAACTGAACTGGACCTGCAGGTTCCCACATGCCTGCCAGCACATGTGGGCCATGTGCCGTCTGGCTTGGCCTTCCTCCCCATTCTGTGAAGTTGAGGAGGTCACAGGAGAGGAGATGCTACAGGGTCGGAAGGGAACATTTACCTGTCCTCTTCTGCAGCCCTTCACTGTTTATAGTGTCACCATCTCCTTGCCCCCCAGCATGGTCCTGTACACACGGCTGGTCAAGACAGAGGGAACGGGTATGTACCTGCATGAATGTCATGTAGATGTTCTCTTGCCTCTGCAGCTCAGCCTGAGCATCTGCCCTCTGCAGTGATGGTCACTGCAGATCAGGGATCAGGGGCACTCTGAGCCAGTGGGCAAGGCTTGTGAAGGGCCATAGAGCAGAGCACATGCCCTCCTCATAGTCGTCTTCTCTGTCACATTACTGCTCTGTTCCTGGAGCTGCAGCAGTCTTTTGGCAGAGCAAATCCTGCTTGGGGAGTCAGTTTTGAGACTATGTCTTGGGCGAGGAGCTGTCTGCACCCTGCTCTGGGCTTAGCCCCATTCCCCAGCTCCATGTGTGACTGCATCCTTCTGTGGTTTCAGTGCCGGACAAACCAGAGGATGTGGTTATGGATCACCACACCGGGTTGCTGAAGTGGAAGGCGCTGCCCTCCTGCAAAGGGGAGATCCTTGGATACCAGGTACCATGGCCTCACAGGGGATCTCCCTCCCCTCTCCAGGGATGTCCTACCAGGGTAGCTTTGGATGTACAAACTGGGGTGTTCTGCTTCCCAGCAGTTCTCTGTCCTTCCTGTAGCTGAACATCACAGCCAGGAGAGCGCATGATGGCAGCTTCCTTGAATCTGAGCAGGTGACGGTGAACGCATCTGTCACTCAGTACCTGCCACCTCATCAGAGACCTGGCAGCAAATACACTGTGGAAATCCAGGGCTTGACAGCAGCTGGTGCTGGGGCTGCATCAATCCTGGAATTTCAAACCTACATCTCAGGTAACTCAACATACATCTCGGGTAACTAAACCAAAGAGGTAGAGTACAGTCCTGCTTCAATTGAGTGCATCTTCTGGCCCCCAGAGCCAATGCATCATCTCTTGTTTGTGAGAGCAGAGCTGGCCCAACTCCTCCACCTAATTCAGACAAAAAGTGAGAGCACAGCAGACAGACAGGAGGAACAGTTCAGCATCCTTTTATATGAACCAGGAGCTGCAGCTGCAGAGCTGTGAAGTCATGCCTACAAGGCTTTTCATCACATCTAACATGTAACTTCTGCAGGAACAAATGGTGTTTCTTACCTTATGGCCCCTGAATAACACAAATCCCACCATAAAAAATGCCAATCAATATATGCTGGTAGCCTGGGGCTCAACAGTGCTGAGGCTGCTGAGCCAGAAAGGCTGTGCATTCCGGCTGGATCCCGGGTTGAGCTTCTAGTTCCTCCAGTCTTCTATGGGATGTGGGTCAACTACCCCCCTACACATGTGCACACACCCGTGCCAAGAGTGGGGCCCTCCAGGGCCCTCACCCCAGGCTGTGACACCCATCCCAAGCTATATGTTAGTTACAGGACAAGCCCTGGCTCCATGGCCTTGGATGGCGGTCACACTGATTGCTGCACTCTCAGCACTCGTCCTCCTGTGTGCAGGGATCCTGTGGTTTGTGCTGTCCAGGTGAGCATCTGGGGGGGCCTGTATCACCTCTCTGTTGCCACTGTGTGTGTTGGGGTGCAGAGGGGGCTGGTGAGGGTCCTCTCCCCTGCTGCCCCCATCCTCTTGGTCATGTGGATGCAGAGGGGTGGTCCTACACTGGCTTGACTGTAAGGCCAAGGACTTGCAAATGTCTTCCTTAGGGCTAGGGCAGGGGCTGTGGGCACTGAGGGACCCTCTTCCTTGTGGTTCTTCCTGCAACTGCTGCTGTCACCCAAGGTGCTGGTGGGCAACTCCTCTGGCAGTTCATGGGAGGCCAAAAGCAGTGGGATATAAAGCCCTCCATCCCTCTGCTTTTAGGGTGGACAGGGCTCTTGACCATGTCAGCTTTGCCCCTCTCAGGATTGCCTTTGTTTTCCCAGGAAAAAGAAGGCCTTGATCAGCCAAGCCAAGGAGGAGCTTTACACAGGTAACAGCCAGGTGACTCCCTGGGGCCACCATCGCAGAGATGGTTACAGTGCTGAGGTGGTCTCTGGGATGTCCTGACCCTTGGCAGAAACATCTGCCCATCCTCTTCCATTCCGTGGTAGCTGTAGGGAACCTAGCTGGTACTGGCCGACTTACCAGAGCAGTGTACCCTATATCTGCCCTGTGACTTTCTCCTCCCCGCAAATGGCTCCTGCTCAGTTGTATTCTTGCTGGGATCATTAGTAGTGCCAGAGAGACCTGGCATCTTCTGGCCATGCTTGCCCTGCCTGGGGAAGCAGCACCTCTGCTCTGCCCTGCATGTGCCTGCGCCACAGACTGTGTCAGCTGCCACGGCTTCTCCCTACCTGAATTTGCCTTGTTCCTTCTCCTCCCATCCCTCAAGCTGTTCATTCCCCTCCAACAGAGCTCCAGCCCTATGAAAACTTGGACTCTTACTCTGTGATCAAGAACTGTCCTCTGGCAGGTAAAGATGCAGGTAAGACCCAGAGTGCCCTACCTGTCTCCCCACATACCTGCAGGATAAGTGGAAGAGGGATACTGCCTTGACATGCCCTGTGTTTGCTCCAGCTCTCTGGTCCTGTGGACAGTCAAGATGACTCTCCCTGCTGGGCCCTAGGCTGCAGGCACATCTCCCCAGCCTGGCACAGCGGCAGGGGCAAGCAAAGAGGAGTGCCCAAAGGCAACACTCGTCTCTCATCCTTGCCAGGGCCCCAGGGCTGTGGGCAGGGCACGAGGGGCTCATTCACCCATGTGGTGGGGAAACCTCTGCTGGGAAGGACTGCAGCAGTGACAGGCCCCAGGGGCTGGCTGCCCTGACCTGTGCTGAGGGCACATGGCAGCCTCTGCCCTGGTGCTGCTGGTCTCAGCGGGTAAACGTGATGAGGCTGAGGAGCTGTCACTCTGTCTCTATCCTCAGCCACAGGAGATGGGAAGAACAGAGCAGCATCAGAAAAGATGAGGAAGATGATGTCATCTCCGTGCTGATGGCAGCTGTCTCCCCATACCCTGCTGTGACTGCGGTCAGTTCTGGGAGCATCATCCAGCATAGGACAGAGCTGTTTCTTTCAGGGCACAAAGCAGCTTCCTCAGAGCTCTTACCAAGCTCCAGTACATTCTCTTGCAGAACAAGAGATGCAGCTCTTGCATGCTTGTTCTTGCAGAACAAGAGCAGCTCAAGGCCTCGGATGAACTGCTTCTGTCAGCAAAGATGTGTGCTGAACATCCTTTGCTGTGATTAAACCACGTGACCCTGACCCTTTTGCCCATGACTGGCCTTGGGGACCCAAGCATCTCCTTCCCATGGGCACTTGTTGCTGTAACTCTCCTGTTTCAAAGCAATTGCTCTGGATGGATGTGTGGCAGAGAGCGAAGGAAGAAGTTGAGCCCAGCATGGCTGCTGCTTGATGAGGGTGAATGAACAGGGTTGGGATAATGGGAAAACTCAGAGTTGGCATATGCTGCTCCCTCTGGCTGGATTCTCACCCTCTCTGCCAGTTGCATATGATGATTTCCAGCCCAAACCACATTTATGCTTGAGTTTGGCCTCATGGTGCTGGCCTTGTGACTCTGCCCGCTGTGTCCTTACAATCAATAAACCTTGTGGCTTGGAGGGAGCTGCATGCCCTGCTACAGTTCCTCCTGTCTCCTCAGTGGGTCACTTCTTCTGTGGAAACTGGGCTAATCCCATCTGGGGTAGGGGAGCTGGAAGCAGGGCTGCCGTGAGCCTCTGGTCCACACTTGAGCCTGACAGGTTATGGGGGGCTATGGGCAAAGCTGGGGGACCTGTGTCTTTCTTAGCCTCTCTGCTGTCCCATGTCTGATCACTCCTCTTCCTTCTCCTTGTACCCTTCCCTGGTGTTGTGTGCACATGCCCCAGTGTCATCTCTCCCTTAGTGATCTTTTAGACTAATGACTGACCTACTGCCTCTCTTTTCTCTTTCTGAGCATCTCGTGGCTCCAGTCTGGTTCTTCACCTTTTCTGTATGGCTGCTGCTTGTTCTTTATCTTCCTGATAGCTGGTTGTCTGAAATGACTCAAACAGTGCTCTGTAATGATCAGACTATTCCTTTCACTCCTGTTCTGCTGTTTCCTTTTGTGCTTTATCCATGAGAATCAGCTTTTGCATTACCGAATATTGACGTAACCCTCAGGATTTTGGTGTTGTCATGCACCAGTCCTGTACCAGATGCTGTGCACAGCTGTTTCTGTACTGTATCGTCAAGTTTGTTCTGGGGTCACAGTTTTGGGAACTGATGGGTATGGCCTCCCTGAACATATGAGGTTGTCCCATGTGGAGAGCACAGGACAGTCTGGTTGGAATAACTTTCCTTCAACTTCTAGGAACTTTTTTCCAAAAAGGGGAGCAGGGAGGCTTGAAAACAGCCTTCACTGGCAGTTCACTGACCAGAGGAGGCTTGACAAAGACTTGGAATATTTATGAACAGGATTAAGTGATGCCACTTGAGTCAAGTGGGGACGAGATTGGGCTGGAATAGGCCCCCCAGGAGATCTCAAAAGGCTGCTGCCTGGCATGTGATGCCTTCATCCCTCCAAGGAAGGAAGGAGGCAGCTCTGAAGCACATGGAAATTCCTGCTCTGATGAGGAAACCTCTGGAGCCAGATCCCATGGTTGTTTGATTTCTGTGCATGCACCTCTTGCACACAGCTACACAGATGCGGGTGTGCGGTCTCTCACTGGCTAGTCTTCTATTAAATTTTACCAACCTCCTTTATCCTTCTCATCTAACTGCAGTCTATACAGTTAACTTCATACTATGCAAGTGAGTGATTCTTTTTTGTTGTTGTTATTGTTGTTCCAACGTTTTGTCTAATTGCAGTTTCTTTGAGAAAGCACAGAAAAGGGAAAAGACAGTTTTGTGGGGAGGATTCAGTCTTTCTGGTGCCGATGTGAAGGGGCAAGGTCATTTGAAAGACAAGACTTGAGGCAATAGTGTATAGGAGGCGGAAAATGTTTACGATCTGTAAGGTCATAGAAAATATCCTGTGTGAAACAGAATCCAGATCTTGAGACAGAAGATATTTGCCCACCTGGGTTGAGCGATAAGGGGCACAGAGGCGGCTGCTCAACCACGTTCACAGCTGACCTCCTCCAAAAACAGCTGAAGGTGGCTCGACTGGGCTTGTAGCCAACTTAACTGCAGGCATCCTCTAAACTAGGTTTGAAGGTCAAACACCCAGGAAGGAGGAAGAAGATGAGGAAGGCAGGACCCTCAGACTGAAGGCTGGGACCCCCTACCGGTGCGCGCGCCTGCGCACCCAGGAAGGAAGACTGTGCAGTTGAAAGTGGAGTTTGTCCGCCCCTCAGCCTGCCTCCTGGGTCGTGCTGACCCCATGTGCCAGGATGCACCAGGCATAAAGATGAGAGTGTGGAAACAGCAGGGGGAGAGGAGAAGCGCTTAACTCCGAGGCCTACGCTATGTTTGCGGGAGCAACTCCCCCTCTCTAATCTGCCAGCCCGAGAGGATGTTCCGTTTCAGTATCCCACCAGCAGGTATTATCTCATAATTATCCATACTTTGCTTCTTTTGTGTGTTTTCACCCGAATAAATGCTCAACATATAGTCACCTCATTTTGCATGATTATTGCTGAATTCCAAACCCATCCAGAACAGATAGCCGTCCCTGTTTGGTGAAATATTGTCAGACAGCAAGCTTAGGCACACTGCAAACAGGAAACCCTGAAGGTTTCAGCACAGCATCTTCATGTAATAGTTTTGCACAAAAAAAAAAAAAACTTACAACATGATGTGAGTTTCAGAGTCAACCTCATGGCTTGGCAACTCTTCCTCAAAGTTAACCCAAGAACCATCAGTAGGGAGGCATATCATTCCCTGGGTATATGGCCTTGGTAGCAGGCAGAAATCCCTACCATGGGGATGGCAGGGATTCCCCAAGCAAGGGAAACGTGAGTAGGGGGTAGTTTGGTAGCTCTAGGGTTACTTCAGGTGCCCAGCAGGCTCTAGAGATTGGATAATGAGATCACCCAGAGTCAGAGGATTCCCAGGCCTCAGTGGAGTTAAAAGGTGGAATACCAGCTCCCTGGGAGATGGTTAAAAAAAAGAAAAAGAAAAAAAGAGGAGGAACTGGAGATCTCTGCGTAGTTACAGGGCTGTGATCTTGTTGAGATCACAAAGGCGTGGTGGGATAGCTCTCAGGCCTGGAACGCTGCAATGGATGGATTCAGGCTCTGTAGGAAGGGCAGGCCAGGAAAGTGAGGAGAGAGAGTTGCCCTTTATGTGACAGAGTAGTGGGAATGCATGGACATCTGCATGGGAGCGGGCAATGGACTGCCTGTTTACGGGACAAGATTAAGGGGCAGATTAACATGGCTGATCCTCTTGCAGGTATGTGCTGTGGCCAGCTAATTAGGAAGAAGTAGATAAGGGCTTCTGCAGGCAGCTTGAAGTAGCCTCGTGTGTGTAGGCTTTGGTCTTCTTGGGAGACTTTAACCATGCCCAGATCTTCTGGAGGGAGCACTGAACAGGAAACAGATAATATACGAGGCTTTTGTAGAGTATCAATGACAACTTCTGGAAATGGAAATATGAGCAGTGTTTCTTAAGTTCCCCTTAGTTACAAGGCAGGTTTGGGAAGCAATTGATATCCCAGTGATGGGATCCTCCTGGTGAGAGATGCCTGGATGCCCATGGCACACACAGAGTAAGAGGCAGGAGTTCTGTCACCAGTGGGAGGTTCCCTCTCCAAAGAGGAAGACTCTTGCAATACATGCGATTTCCCCGCATGGTTGTTTCCTTCCTGTGGTTGTACTCTCTTGCGTTTAGTTGCATGAGCTTAGAGGCAGCGAGCAGCACTGAGATTTCAGTGCTGCCCTGGGATTTCTACTAACATGGTCTTGCGATGGCTGTCTCTGGCCTTTCTTCTGGTCCTTGCACCTCTGAGGGCTGTACAGGGAGAGGAAGAGCCTGGTCCTAAAGTTGAAGGAGTTCCCCAGGGAACAGGTAAGAATTTCTCATTCTGCAAGAAGATGTTTGGCTGCTCCCCTTCTTGTAAGTCGGCAGTGCATCTTTACCAGGTTCAATGTGCAAGAGCTGTATCTGAGTGGACTGGAGCTTTGCCCGTATCAGGGTCCAAGGCACTTGCACCTCAGCCAGGCAGTGGTGATATGAAGATGCATTTGGGGATGAAGGGCTACAGGCCTTGGTGCACAGAAAAAGTCTACAGGTCTCCTGAAAGCTTAGGCTGCTTTGGACCAGGGAGATGGAGTCCAGCTGTACGCCTGAGCTCCTATGTCATCTGGAATACTTGTTTTTTTTCCCTGGGAGAGTTATGTGAATAGGAGCTAAGATGACTAGGAGCAATGTTGGGGGTAATGAGAAAGATGGATGAGGCCTCACAGTCAGGGACTAGTCACACCCAGCACTGAAAATCTATCCCAGAGAAAGTAACAACTGTGCTCATTGCTATACAATGAGAGAGATTAGAAGGATGCTGGAATCCCTTCAACTTTAACATATTAAACCTTGGCAAATGTGCCTTGGGACACTGGCACTATCCTTGCTGAGAATGGAGAAAAAGAAGAACAGCCTGTCACTGTTCTGAGGTAGGTGTGCCTGGGCATGGGGTGGGACTGTATGC